ATGCAAATATTTTAGAATGGAAACTAATTTGGGGAAAAAAGGAAATATTTAAAAATTAAATGAAGATGATAAAATAATAAAATCTGAATTAATAAGAAATATAAGTTTAATAGTAGAATGTTGTTTAAATGATTAAATAAAACTGAGAGAAATATTTTTAGAATAGAAAATAATAGGGAAAAAAGTAAAATATTTAAAAATTAAATAAAAATAAAAATAAAATATAAATAAATAATAAATGTAATGTTAATAGTATAATATTGTTTAACTGATCAAATAAAATTGATGCAAATATTTTAGAATGAAAATAATTTGGAAAAAGGGAAATACTTAAAAATTAAATAAGTTTTAATAATAAAAATAGGCTAAAAACACATATTTAACATAAGGTGTGGCTGGATGTGCAGCTGCTGCGATGCTTCACGTCAACGTGGACCAACGTCTCCGAGGAGCGTCTCCAGCAGCTCGTCGGGTCCCAGCCGGTCCGGAGGAGGTCCGACCCGGCGGTACCGAGGTGGACTCAGACGTGCATCCACCTGAACGCTGATCCTGATCCTGATCCTGCATGCACGGCTTGTAAACACCTCCTCTGAAATCCTGCAGCAGGTTTCCTCCGTCACGCTCCGCTGACTCCTGTCCTTCACACGAGAGGCTGCCTCCTCGCTCAGACTCTCCCGAGGCCCAGTTCACGGTGACGAATCGCTTCCCCTCGATGAGATTCATGTTTAGTGACAGCAGGGAAACGTCGGCGTCACACAAACGGAGCTAATTGCTGTAATCCTGCCTGCAGGTCGACGAGTGAAATTACAAATGCAGAGACTCTCTGATCTCGTCACCTGAGGTTCGTTAAGGCGGTCGCTGCTGGACGGACCGGACGGCTTCCTGGAGGATCCTCACCAAGCGCCGCCGCTTGTTGTGCCGCTAAATGAGTCGTATTGTGGCTCTGAGGGTTCGAGCTGCTGCTGTTTGATCTGTGCAGCTGGATTTGACTTAATGAGGAAGCTGCTGCTGCTCTGAGAGGAAGTCTGCAGCGTTTCATCCACTGGGAGGAAACCACTTCATCACCTCCAGTATACCAGTCTGGGGTCAATAAGGAGTCCAGACAAACCAGCAAACTACGCTGAGGACAGGAAGCAGCGTTTCCTGTTCAGGCAAAGGCAGTGACTTCATGACATGAAGAACAAGTTGGTTCCTCATAACAGGTAGTTGGAGATACATCTGATGGTGGAACATCTTTCTACATCTGATGGATGAACATCTTTCTACATCTGATGGATGAACATCTTTCTACAGCTGATGGTGGAACATCTTTCTACTGATGGTGGAACATCTTTCTACAGCTGATGGTGGAACATCTTTCTACTGATGGTGGAACATCTTTCTACATCTGACGAGCAGAGAGGAGAAGTCTGGAGACATGGAGATAGTTCAACATCTGCAGGACGAGGAGACGACATGATCACAGAGAGACAACAAAAATAAGATGTGACACTACAAAACAAGGCAACAATTTATCAAAACAAGACACAAAATGACAACGAGATGCAAAACAATAAACAAGACACAACAAAAGACAACTAAGGCACAAAATAAATATAATAAAAAATCAGTTTACTGAAGTTTACTAACTGCTGCCTTTGTTTACTGACGTCTACCGAAGGTCACCAAAGTTTACTGACGTCCAGTGACGTCTACTGATGTCAACTGATGTCCAATGATGTTTAATGATGTTTACTGAAGTTTACTGACGTTTACTGACGTTTACCGGCATTTACCGACAGCTACCGAAGTTTACCAAACTTTACAGATGTCTAATGAAGTGTACTGCACATCTGCAGTCATGAATTAAAGTTTCCGTCCTCTTCTAAAGTCCATGTTTGTC